TTTACATAAAAATAAATATTCTCTCTTTCAGTTCTGGAGTTCATCAGCAGCCTCTGGTATGCAATCATACAAAGAAAATAATGTTGCTGAACTGGCAGACTGTGATGCCACAGTAGAATTTGTTAAAAAGGTCAACTGCTTGGCTGATGCTATGAATAGCAACACACCAAGAAATGCATTAAAGCCAGGCAATAGTGAGTGGGAGGTAAATATTTGATTTATTTCTGTATCAATTATACTTTTTTTTTTAAAGAACCACTAAAATTGAATCCCTATAATTTTTGTTATTAGAATATAGAATCATTTTTGGTAGCATTCAAAGCCATGAGAGCATATGCTAATGAAAAACTAAGAGACAGACTTGAGAAAGCTGCGAAAGCAACGGAGGAGTTTCAGAAAAAACAAACAAAAGCACAGTCCAAAAGGAAACGCAAAGCTCCACCTGCTAATCATGCCAAGCCCGATAAAGTTCCAGAAGCCTTCATATTTTCTGAATCATCTGACATTGGTCTTTTAGTCACTCTCCAAGCAACTAAGGAAATATGTACATTCTTAACTGAGAAATGTGGCTACCAATATTTGATGACTGCTAGACTGAACCAAGATGCTCTGGAGGTAAGCAGAAATTTAGATAGAAAAAAATATGTTTAAAAAAAATTTGCTATGGATTAACTCTCTTCAATTATTTACTCTCAGCGATTCTTTGGCCTGGTTCGACAATCTGCTGGACAGAACACTCACCCAGAACCCAAAGTTTTTGCACAACTTTTTCGCCTCCTCTCCCTCTATTCACTTGTTCGACCACTTAAAGGAAGTAACATCACTGGGGGAGAAATGTTACATACCCTTTTGAATTTGGAGGATTTCCGCAACAAGGCACCAGAAGTGTTAGGAGCGCGCCCAGTCGGGCGGCGGCTGCACGGAGCAGCAGGGAGTATCTCCACGCCCGACTGCAGCGCGGCCCTACACCATGACTGGAGTGCAGGGGGGAGCGACCGAAGGCGGCCCGAACCAAAGAGGGACCCGAGCAGCGGCGAACGGAAGGGAGGGGAGCCGATCGGGGGGGACTGACCGGAGGCAGACACACGTGGAAGACTCAGGTGGGAGGGGTGTGAGGTGTGTGCGACGGAGAGTGTGAAGTGTGTGTGAGAAAGTGGAGTGTTTACCCGAAGTGCAAGAACAAAGTGCAACACTGAAGATGGAGAGCATGGGTAAGTCCCTGGTGATGTCACACCCAAATAATTAGAGTATAGGGAATTAGGAATTA